CCCCCTCGTCCCTGTCCCTGGCCCTTTGCCCCCCATCCCGGCTCCGTCACCCTCCCGCCCCCTACACTCAGGACGAGAATGCCCTGCCCGGAACAACCTAGCAGCGCCTAGATGGCTTTGGTCACGGTCCAGCGGTCGCCTACCCCCAGCACCACCTCCAGCCCCTGCGCCTCGGTGAGTCCCTCCAGGCGGCAGCTCCTCGCTTCTGTCACTGCGGCTCCGCTTTGCCTCAGCGGGTCCCGCCGAACGCCACTGCGCACGCGCAGCGCCTCTTCCCAGGCCTTGGCACTCAGGCTGCCGCGAACCCCCCACACCCTCATCCTACCGGCGAGCAGCAGCGACTGCCAGATGTTGGGGTTCTGGCCCCCATCACCTGGAGCACCCAGCCCCTCACCGCTCCGGCTCGGAAATCTCCCGTAGCATGCTTCCCATAGCTTGAGCACTTCCTTTCGGCAATGAGTCATTCTTGCTTTTCACCCTCCCCCTTCTCTTACCCTCTGTTGCTCTGTTGCAGGGAGGGGAACGGTGGGCTCCTACGTTACCCCCGACCCACACCCATATCCCTTACTCACACCATTTTAGGGACCAGGTCAGCACACTGCGCATCCTTCTTCCGCCAGTCTCGGGCGTCTCTCTTGTGCTCCCTACAGTTCAGGCTTCATTGGACTGCTCAATGGTAGTTACTCCCAGGTTTCTCCCCATCCCTTAAAAGATGGCAGTGGTCTCCTCTGCTTCTTGGACTTTTACCTTCCTCAGTCAGGTCCCAAAGCATCCGGTGCTGCTCGATGGCCAGTGCCAATTCATTTCCATCTTACAGACACTTATGCCTTACCTCATTGCTCATGATGGTTCTTGCTCTTGGGTTGTGCTTGCATGGTTCATTACTTCAAATGCTTGTGTCGCTAAAGGCTGTTTCCAAAAGGAAAATACCCAGCAGCCAGCTCCCCCCACCCCTTCCCCGCTGGGCTTCTCTTTGCCTCCATTCCCACCCCGACTCCTTTACATCTCTATTCTTAGGATTCATTTTTGAGAATACCTGCTAACATGCGTATTGCAGCAGCGTGGTAAGAAAGGTCTTAATAGACAGGCACCTAGATGAAAATATGAACAATTGGAGAAGCTGTTTCCTATAGAATTATAATTTTTAACATTGGATTTAGTAGTGTCAAGGTGCAAAGAGGCATTCAATGAACACTGTGGCCTTCCGCTGTGTAAAAGAAAGTTGGGTTGTTAATATTTGTTAACTGAGATGTGAGGTTTGGTATCTTGAAAGCATGTTGCCTTGTGATTTCAGTATGGTTTCCTGAATTTCAAAATTTCCTTACATATATTGGTGGTTTCTTCCTTTGTGAGTATTCCTGTGTGTTTTTGTGTGACTAAACCAACAACCATACCCTAATTCGAGAAATTACTTTGTTTCAGAGGTTAATTTACCTTGTGTTGTTCCAGGATACAAAACTGAAATCTTTGGATAGACATTTGGAGAGGGAAATTTACATTGGTTTAGGGAAGAAGTTTATAGAAATAAAGTACACTGTTTTGCAAAATAGTTAGCATACATTGCTAGACATATCAAGCAGAAGCTGGGGGGCCTTTTGCCAGACAACTGATAAAAGGAATTCCTGCAGTGGGGGATGAGAAAGTTTTCCAAGGCTTAACGATTCTGTGACTGTATTTCAGAGCTGGTAAGGCATTTTAGGGTCTGCTAGAGACAAATATCAGAGGGGTAGAAATGTAGTATTTTCATGAGTAGAGTTTTCATAACATGTCTTTAGACCATCTTAATTCACTCCATTAGTAATTCCTCTGAGTTTTGTGGTTACTAGGCCTAGTTTTGGCTGTGAAAGCAATCAAGAGTGACCATTATAGATACTAAGTCATACAAGTAGACACATACATATGAAGTAGAACCCAGTATTGTAATACTATTTTCCCTGGGTATTGTTGAAGACATTCTGTTATAATAACATTTATTAAGTCGTTGTCATACTAATTGTCTTGAAGTAAATGATTAATATACAGTAAAGCCACATCTATTTGACATGGCTTCATTGGCCAAAACTTGGTCAATGAATGTTAATTAAAGAATGTTAGTAGTCATTTTTATCGTAAGCAATTAAATTTGGTCATGTGAACACTGTAGTATTTATTGTAGTAAATACTGAGTGGTAAACTCAGTTGCTAGGCATAATGATCGATATTTCTGTATCCCCTGGTCTGATCTCAGTTGTTTATACTTGGCATTGTGTGTAAAGAAATCCTGGCACTGGTGTGTGTGAGTAACAATCAGCATTGTTAGCATGACTGACAAACCAGCTATCTTTCCCTTTAAATTGTCTTCCTATTTGACTTCATCCAAAGATGTGCTCAGCTCAGTTGTCTTGTGGTCCTTGTATTCCGGGCTGCTATCTGACCTGCATATATTTTGCTGTTTTATCTCTTGCTGAATGAGTAGGTTGGTTGGTTTTCAAAGTAAGAAGAGTGCAAAAAGAAGTTAGAACGATAAATAAAAAAGGACTTCATTTTGTGAGACTGGAGATTTAATCTTTTAATTACTTTAAAGCAGTCTGTAATACTTTTTCACTGAATATGTTGGGCATTTTAATACTGTCAGTATTTTCTTCATAAAGCATAAAACAAACTTGATCATTGGAGTGATTAGTCTTCAGCTTTACTGTGGAAGTGCATCCAGAGAGGTTTAACAGAGGAGGAAGTACCCACCCTGATGTGAGTGGCACCATCCCCTGGGGTGGGTACTGGACTGAATGAGAAGGAAAAGTCCAGTCGAACTCCAGCATTCCCCTTTCTCTGTTTCCTTGTCTGCCCACATGATAGCAAGTTCCTGCTACCATGTCCTCCCTTCCATACCATGCACTGTTCATGGTACAAACTGTGACCCAAAATGAATGCTTCCTCCAACAGTTGCTTTTTTTAAGTGTTTGGTCACAGAATCAAGAAGAGCGACCTAATAAAATCACCTACTATGTATGAGTGACCTTTATAGGTACTAAGTCATAGAAGACATTCACCTGTCTATCAGATGATGTAATTTGGGTAATAAGGCTAGCAGAAGACTAATAGGGGGTAGGAGAATAGTGATAGTGAGGACAATAATACTGTATATATGTGACCAGTTTGCAATGGTCATAAGTATTCAGATTGATGTAAGTTCACTAATAGCAAGTAGTAATTAGAAAATGAACAACTTCTTATTTCTCTTGGGTTTTCATCTGTGCCAGACATCATGCTAAATACTTTTACATTTATGACTTAATTCATTTATTCCTTACAATGTGCCAAAGGAAAGTTGCTTTTATCCCTGTGTTATAGATGAAGAAAGTGAGGCAAGGGATGTTTAAGGAATGTGTCCTGTGTCACTCAGCCAGTGCGTGACTGGAGTTGTAATCCAAATCCAGATGTGGCTAACCATTGAAATGATGGTAATGAAGAAGCATAGCACAATAGGTGTCTCTCAAACTAGATTTTGACATATAATTTGAATTTTTATAGGCCAGGATTGAAGATAAGAGCAAGGTATCCTAGGTGGAGAAAAGCTATGTGTTCCAACACTTGAATTCAGAAAAGTACAAGGCATTAACTGAAAGGATTAAGTAGGTCAGTGTGAGGATTTATTTGGAAAATGAGAGATAAAAGTGAGAGGTATCTAGGGCTGTACAGGGACTGCTGAGCCAGTACTTGGGATTAATGAAAAAGTAATAGAAAATTCTCACAAGTTTTGAGCAAATGTGATCACAATAGTGTTTTAAGAAAATTGATCTAGGGGCTTTGGGCCGGAGGGATTTTAGGAAAGACAAGAGAGGGCATGACTAGAGCTGGTTAAGGCTATTGTTGAGGCCTGAACTGGAATTTTTGAGTGTTAATGGAAGAGACAGATGTCAGGGATAGAGAAATCAGAGATACCAACTTTTGGAATGTATTGTTCTTCCTAGAAAAATGTTTCCTGGGGCTAGAGAGATGGCTCCGCTGTTAGAGGAGCATTGGCTGCTTTTACAGAGACCCCAGGTTTGATTCTCAGCCCCCACAAGGTGGTTTCCAATTGTCTATAACTTCAGTCCCAGGGGATCTGACTCCCTCTTCTGGCCTCTAGGAGCACTGCACACATGTGAGGCAAAACACCCATATACATAAAAATGAATTAAAAAATTTAAAAATAAAGAAAACAAATGTTTCCTCCCCTTCTCCCTCCCTCCCTCCCTCCCTCCCTCCCTTTCTTCCTTCCTTTCTTCCTTCCTTTTTTCAAGATAGGGTTTCTCTGTGTAGCCCTAGCTGTCCTATAACTAGCTCTGCAGACCAGGCTGGCCTCAAACTCACAAAGATCCACCTGCCTCTGCCTCCTAGGTGCTGGGATTAAAGGTGTGCAACACCACCACCAGGCCAAATGTTTCTTAATTAATAAGGGCAATTTAAGAATTCTTGGGCCAAGAGTGTGCCCGTGACTCAGCTCAGCAGCTCAACCTCAGCAGCAGCAGCAGCACCAACAGCAGCACCAACAGCAACAACAAAATCTGCTCTCTGTTCTTTCTGATATGATTTTCCTTTTTGTAATATATTTTAACTTTTAAAAACTGCCATTTTATTTCCATTTGATACATGGTAATTGCACATTTTTATGTGGGACAGTTTGGAAATTTGATACATGCCTACATTGTGTAAATGATCAAATGGCTGTATCTATCACCTTAGATATTTATCATTTCTTAGTGTTGGGAACAGTTTAACAGCTATTTTTAAATATATGATTATTATCAATCCTTTTGCTTATGCTTTGCTATAGCATATTAAAAGGTATTTCTCCTTTTCAACTGCACACTTGTACTTATTAACCAATGCCCCCCCCTTTGCCTTTCCAACACTTTCCCAGGCTTTGGTAATCACTAGTCTCTCAATTTCTATAAGATCAACTTTTTAACTTCCACATGGACTGCAGAACATATAGTATTACTCTTTCTATATCTGAATTATTTCACAACGTAATGTTGTCTGATTCTATCCATGTTGCTGACAGAATTTTATCTTTTTTGTAGGTAAATACTATTTGATTGCATATGTGCGGTATTTTTTTTAACCTTCTTGTCTTCTGATGAAACCTGGGTTGATTTTGTATGTTGGTGGTTATGAATAGTACCACAATAAACATGCAAGTGCAGGTGTTT